TTTCTTCTTTTTCTGTTGCTAGAGGCCTCTCTCACAGGGCTAAGAAAACAAAGACCCCTCTTGTAGCCTGAAGACCCCCCACCACTCTCCCCACTTCCACCTCAGGGGACTCTCAGCTCCATCCTCAAAAACCCAGTATGCAGTAGAAATCAAAGTTACCTTAAATATTCTAATCTTTTAACAATTTTGCTTCAATCAACATCTAAATATGACCACATGTGCCCAGACCACCCAGTAGCTTGGTTGGTGGAAGGGGTGGTGAACTCTTAGTGGGGGTGGAGGGCAGAAGGCTGCTCTCAGACACGGGCCTGGCTCCAGAGGGGCTTCCTGGGGAGGAGGGCTGCAGGTCATGAGATCCATCCCTCTGCTTGCTCCTGGCCTCCCCACACAGAGCGAATCCCCATTCATTTCTTCCCCTTCCCTCCACAGCCCACGAAGCAAGAGACCAGAGTCATGCTCTTCTGAACAGCTGGGCTAGGGAAGAAATGGGGAGTGGTGATTCTCCTCAGGCAATCGGAGGCCAGGGATGGCTTCGTGGGTGTGCGACCTGTGCCATCACACGGGGTTGCACGCCAGGACACCACACTTGGTTTAATGCACTGCTGAAGCATCTTGAAATTTGTAATAATTTTTGAACAAGAGGCTCCACATTTTCATTTTGCACTGAGCCCCACAAATTATGTAGCCAGTCCGAGTAGACAGCCACACTGCCCACACCCCCTCCCTAGAAAGGCCTTCCCCACCCGCTACTCATATTAAGTCAGGCAACAGTCAAATCAGTAAACATTTATTGAGCACCTACTTTGTGCTGAAAAATTGTGTTAAATGCTTGGGGATACAGCATGGCCCTGCTTTCACAAAACTATTCTACACACTGTCTAACACTCAAATATCCATTCACAGTAGTTAATCTTGTTTGGTGGTGAGTGGGTTTCATCTCGTACTGACCCTGTGTACAGACCCAGTTCTGGGCAGTGTTGCTATGCTTGAGCCAATTGTTGCAGCCAGTGTATCAATTCATCTCATTGAGAATCTTTCTCTTTTTCACTTACCGTCTACTTTACAAAGCATGATGTCGTTCTCCAGGCACTGGTCCTTCCTGATAACATGTCCAAAGTACATGAGATGACATCTCAACATCCTCGCTTCTAAGGAGCGCTCTGGCTGTGTTCCTTCTTCTGGCAGTCCACGGTATACTCGGTATTCTTCACCAACACCAATTCAGACCAGCAATTCTTCCAATTATAGAACACTAGGCTTGTGCAGGAGTCCCTGGGTGATAGAGTTAACACATGCAACTGCTAACTGAAAGGCTGGAGGTTCAAGCCCACCCAGAGGCACCTCGGGAGAAGAGCCTAGTGATCTGCTTCTGAAATATCAGCCACTGGAAATCCTGTGGAGCACAGTTCTATTCTGACACACATGGGGTCACAGTGAGTCTGAACAGAGTACACAGCAACTGCCGGACACTTACACACATCATCTTGGTTAATTCTCAAAACAGTCAATAAGGTGGGATTGTTATCCCCATTTTCCAGATGGGAAAATTGAGGCTCAGAGAGTTGGAACCATGTGTTTGGTGTCACAAGGCATTAAGTAGCAGAGTTAGGGCTTGCTCACCTCCCTCATTTTCAGCCTCTCTTCTCCTCCTCCCACACACCACAGGTAGATTGCATTCAGCTGGGGCACAAGCTCCTAGCAGGCAGGGCTGAGGTTTAGGTCATCTCCCTGTTCCCAGCAGCCGAGCCCAGAGCTACGAAATGAAAGAATTCACACAAAAACGTACATAGACACACTTCCTGAAGAACACAAGGAAACAGACACACACTAAAACATGTATGTGCTTATATACAAACATGTATATGTAACATGAAAGAGCTTGGGGTGCAAAACCAGATTATTTGGGTTCAAGCCTTGAATCTACTCTGCACTGTGTGGCTCAGTTTCTTCATCTGCAAAATGAGAATAGCAGTAGGGTTGCTGTGAATGCAAAGTGAGAAATATATATAAGTACTTAGAATGACACATGTTGTCGTTAGGGGCTGTCCAGGTGATTCCATCTCATAGTGACCCCGTGTGACAGAGCAGAACTGCCCTATACAGCTTCCTAGGCTGTGATCTTTACGAGAGCAGAAGGCCCGGTCTTTCTCCCAGGAGTAGGTTTGGGAGCAGGTGAGCCCTGGGGTAGGTTTGAACTGCCAACCTTTCTGTTAGCTGCCGAACACTTAACTGTTGCACCACCAAGGCTCATAGTCACTCTTCAGTAAATATTAGCTATTGTCATGAATAAATTTCACCCATGTAAAACTGCTCACTACAGATTAGTAAGTAAGCACAAGCAAGCCTGTCCTTACCTTGCTCACTGGGTAATCCGCCCCTGCAGAGAAGGCTTCCCATAGGAGGCCTCCACCCAAGCTGGGTAGGAGAGCCAGACCGAGGCAGGAGGGTGCTGCCCTGTACCTTGACTCCCTTCACTGTTCCTCACAGCGCCCCCCTTCTGCTGCGTCACCCTCCCTCCACCCATTTCCCCACAGTAGAAAGGTTCCTCTCTCCTCCTGCCAGAAGCTTAAATTGCCCCCAGGAATGCACTGTGTCCCACAGCTCCCCTGGCAGTGGCCAGCAGCTGTCCTGGGGTCAGGCCTGGCCCCACATCAAAGGCTGGGGATTGGTAACAGCGCAGCTCCCTGCCCGCCCCGCCACCAATCTCCCCTCCCCTCCCACTGGCCTTTTGGCTTCCAGGGAACAGCACATGGTAGCACTTAGCTCCGGGGAGGACGCTCTTCCTGCACCACCCCCACAGCCACGGCCACGGCCACAATGAACTACTTGTTAGGAGACTCTTAATTTTACTTAATGCTATTTCTGCTCCTGGGTCTTAGTCACCATCTCCTTCCCAGACCTGGATCCCCAGCATGGGAGCAGGTGAGGCCAGTTTGCCAGGGGACGGTGCACCTAGAGTATGGAAAAGTCACGGGGGGTTGGTTGGAGGTCTGGGGCAGCAACAGGTCTCTGTTACATCAGGGGAGTGGGGCTGATGCTTTGGACTCACTCAGGAAGTAAGGAGGTTGGTTAAGGAGGGGCTCAAAGCTAGCCTGTACACCTCAGGAGACCAGCACAAGGTGCATATGGGGGTCAATGTGCTCTTTTCAATGCTCTGGATCCAGGAGGCAGGCATCTTAGCCTAGCAGCAATACAAGCTTTGCTTTCAGGACCCATGTCAGTGACTAGAGGAGGGAGGCACTCCCAGCTTCTGAAATTTGCTCCATCAGGTGCATCTTCTAGCAAATTCTGAAAACCAAGGGTGCTATGCCTTTCTGGACGGTACAGTGGTGATCTATCGACCCCTAGTGGCCAAAAGCTGCCAAGTGTGGTCTTTAGCATTCTGATCCAGCCAGCTCCAGGTCCAACCCCCACCAGCGGGGACCCACCCCTCCAGCACCAGAACTCGCCAGATCCAACCTCCCAAGGAACCATCTTCATTAGTCAATCACTCTCTTGTAGCCAGGCAAACCTGCTCCATTCTTGCTATAGCCTAGCCTGGGGGGCTCTCCCAGCCTCAGTCATCTTAAGGCAGGAGGATCTGTAACTCATGACCCATCAACTACAGGGGTGGAGACCAGATGAGGGACCAGGAAGTTAGGTTGCCGGGGCTTGTATGTTTGGCTCATATGGGAAAGATGATGAGGTGATGTTCTAGATAGCTCAGCAGTCCTTAGTCCTTTCCCTTCCCTCAGCCCCTGGGTGCACATCACACAATCGTGGGGCTGTAATGGGAAAAAAAATCACTAAAGGGGTTTTGTTTCCACAGCTTGCAGGCCCTGTAATGTTGCCCAAGTTTAACTCTGGGAAAGGAAATATCCAAAACCTCACCCCATACAATTGGCTGCTAAAAAGTAGGTTGTGGTACTGGGAGGAGAGGAAGGGTGAGGGCCCCCCTGGAAAAGTGAAAGGGTGGCCAGCTGACTTTTCTTTGGCAGGATGCACATGCCAGTCAGGCCCCAGCACTGATTCTCTCACTGTTTCATTCACCCCTCCAGTGTGACTGAATCCAGTCCTACACTAGATGCTAAGGACACAGTTGACCAAAATAGAGCTATCTACTCTGGGGTCTCAGATTGTAGGAGGGGGGACAGGCTCAAAAGATGACATCCCAGAGGGAGAATGGGCCTCCCTAGGCATGTGGAAACAAAAGTGCCCTTCCCTCCTCAGTGGCCTAACCCAAATGGAGGCAGGTCCTATGCAAACTTGTCTTACTAGGGTCCCAAAACCCTGGCCCTACCCCTAAAAGAGCCAAGGCACTTTAAGCACAATACATTCAGAGTTGGCTCCCCTCCTCTCAGGCCTTGGGGTCATCTCCCTCCAACAACTGGGTATTTGGACCTCAAGGCCCTAGGTGGTTCACGAGATCAGTGCTACCAACTAAAGCCTGGCACAGTCTTGGCTCCTTCTCTTTAAATGTTATTCCAAGCTCTTTAAGGCTGGGAGAGAGAGCTGAAGCTAGCTTTCCCACAGTGCTCACAAGTTATCAATATGGCATCATCAAGACCGTGGGCATTGGAGAGGGACAGAGCTTTTCTCTACTAGTTGTATGTCCTTGGGCAACTTGTCTTCCACTGTAAAAATGGAACCATTGTGTATTAAATAATTGCACTCAAAGTGCTCAGTTGTGTCTGACACATGGTAAGCACTCAGTAAATAGTACCCAACACCAAGGTCTTTCTAGCCAAACCTTCCAACTTGGTGGCCAAGAGCCCAGGATAATCTATGTTAGGCAGGTCTGGAAAATGGTCTAGTTATTTACTTTGCCGCAAACACTGAGCAAAAAATGACTGTGAAGGGGCCTCATTTGCTTGCACTAGCTCCCAGCTTTCCCACTCTGGTCTCTGGGGAAAAGCCCTATTCCTAGACCAAGTCAACGCAAGGCAGGGCCCAGGAACCAACTTGATCTCCTCATCCCATGTTAACAAAATTCCTGTAGCTGAAAAGAAAAAAACAGAACATGATTGGGACTTCACTCAAGAATGTCTTTATTGAAGTTTGTAAGAAAAAAGGATGGACCCTCTGTACAAAGAGGAGATGTTGCCTACAAACAGCAGGGAGGAATGAGACCTGGGTGGCTTCCCAGAAGTCGGTGTCTCCAGCATGACTGGCTCCCCTTTCCTGGCAAGCACTGTGTCACATCACAGCTAACAATTCCTGCCCACCCCACTCCAAGCCTCTCCTTCCTCTACCCTACAACCCTGGATTCCCTATAGCCATTTGCCAATGGCTTTTTGGAGGCCCAAGGGTAGATGGACCAGGCCTCTTGATGGGGTCAAAGAGGATTTTGCTTTGGAAAATTCAATAAGGAATTTAAAATGGTTTGAACTCTTTCTAGTCCAACCAAGGATGATTATATCCAGCCCCTCCAAAGGGAGCAAAGAATTTTCCATCTGAATGTGCACACTTTGGAGTAAATGGACTGTATCACAGTCTGCTCTTTATTAGCATGGAGAATGGAAACAAGGTTAGAAGAATATATAACATCCATGTAAAGGAGTCACTGAGTTCCAGAAGGCAGAGGGAGCACTGAGGCTTTGTGATCCAACGAGTACTCCTGCCGTCCACCTTGAAGTCCTGTGGGCTGGTCATTCCTCTCCAGCTGGGAGGTTGTCCTCAATCCGCCTGATGAATCTCATCCGGATTTCTGTCACACCGTCTCCTTTCAGGGTATCCTGGACAAACTTGGCTTCTACAGCCATCTGGACCTGGTGACAGTGGGAAAACGAAGTGGCAGCTGCCTAGCTATGGTCTCTGGAGAAGCACTGGGGACGAGACTGTAACTGGCTCACCCACAGCAGTCAAAAAAAAGGGGGGAGGACTTGTTTCCCATAGGCATCCTCTAGGGACAAGATTGCCAGCTCCAATACTCCCTTGCAGAAGACAAGGCCTGTAAGAAGAAACCTAGCAAAGAACACCCAGAAATAAGACACCTGTTGCTCTGTAATGTCGGTTACATAACCCAATTTGAGAATGGATGCTATGGAGCTCTGGGGGCTAATGGCACACCTCCCAGCCTCGTAAGGAGGATCATCACCATATTAAATCCTATACACAGCAACAGCAGCATCTCAGACTGCAAAACACTGAGGGGAACCAAAGGCCTTTCCTTTAGCTCTCTCTCATTCATTCATTCAAACGTTTATTATGCCCTTACTACATTTCAGGTGTCCCAGAAGACAAAGAACTGCACTCACCATCTCCAAGGCTCCCCGCAACACCCCACACAAGAGATTGGAATAAATAAGGGATGAGTGGTTATCAGGAAGTTCCACAAAGTCCACCAAGGGGTTATTTTCCAAAATGAGGGAGAATTCGTCACCTGCTGGGCTCCAATTGGTGATGCTTGGAGTAATGCCCAAGTACATCTTAAACGCCACCTGTTGGGGGACAAACAACAGCACTGTGGGGGAAGAGAAGCAGAGGCTGTGTAACAGGCTAGAGACTGGCAAAACGGGAAAATAAGAGAAATAAAAAATAGGTAAAAAGTTTTGCTCAGGAGCAAAATTGTGCCCTCTGCAAGATGCTGAAGCTTCAGATATTCAAAGAATAAAAAAGAAAAAGCATCTGTGCATAAGCCAGCACCCTCTTCTTCAAGGCACTGCACAAGCAAGCAGTAATTCAGTGTCGGCCTGCAGTGGAAGGGAATACTGCTCCTCTGATGGGGTGGCTACCCTGAGCCAGCATCTGAGCACAAAATGCAGACAGCCCCTAACATGTTCCTGTCCTCTGTGCTACTTGAAGCCACCTCTTGAAAGCGAATGCCAGTCACTGGAGCAGAATTACTCCAAACCCATCTTTCCCTCTATCTTCCCACCTATTCCTAAAGCATCACAAAGTTCTCTCCACTGTTAACTCTCTTTAGGATTTGTGCGGGCAAGCATGTTCTAGACTAGAAAGAACCGACCTTCAGGTAACCGACATTACAGAGCAACAGGTGTTTTATCATTTACTATCAATGCTAAGCTATAACACTAGTATTAATAATAATAAACATTTACTATATGTACGACACTATTCATTTTACCTGAACACTCACAATCATTACTTCATTTACTCTTTACAACAACCCCATGAAGTAGATCGTATCATTATTTCATTTACTCTTTACAACAACCCCATGAAGTAGGTCGTATTTCTTCATTTTAAAGGTGAGGAAACTGGTATTAAAGAGGTTAAGCGTCACTTCCCTAAGAACCCAGCACTACTAAGTACTAGAGCCAGAATATGAAGCTACATTTGTATGAGGCCAAAGTCTATGGTCTTAACCCCACGCTATATGGCTACACCTTCAGTGGAGAGATGTGGCTTAGATTTTAGTGAGCTTTAATCCACAGGGACGATTCTAATCACTCTTCTGTTTTTCAAAATCTGTGCTATTCCCAAACCACCAGGAAGCCTTCCTTGGCCCAAACAGCTGCCTAACTAGTCTTTTGGGACACTTAGGGCTTCTCTATGAGAGATGGAAAGTGGTAAGCACCTCCCTTCAGGATGGCCAGGTAGCCCAAGATAATGACCTTGGCGATAACATCTGCAGTTTCCCGAAAGTCATGGCACCTCCCGACATTTGACCGTGCCAAGAAATCTTCAATCAGCCGGACACCAATATTATAGCCCCTGGGAAGGAAATTAGAGAAAGACACAGTTATGGGTGATAGTCTGAACGTAAGGCTATTGGTGGTAAAGGGAAAGTGGGGATAATCTCAAAACAATCTAGTAAATGAGCTCAGTAGAAACTGCCCAAAACTTTAGCTATGACAGAGGACCTGTTCAGAACTCTAAAGGACAATGGCTCCCCAGTGTGCTGGTGAGCCCTATTCCTGCCTCTCCCATGGAGGGCTCACTCACATTTTGTCCAGCTGTTTATTCACATCTTCATCATTTTCATAGTCCTTGCACAGCTGGGTGACCAGAGCCCCATAGGTCAGAGTGAAGAGCTCAGAGCTCTAAAAGAGATTCAAAAGGCAGTCAGGACCAAGCAGCACAAAAGAGAAAGGGTGGTACATGTCTGGATCAGGCCTGATGGAACTGTCAAGACTCAAAGGAGGGTCGCCTGTGTCTAGTGGGAAAGAGTATCATCCCCTGTGGAAATGCCAGAGAGTATGGTCCCAAGGGTGAATGTAGCAGGCCTGCCCCTAGGCCAGTGCCTCAGTCACTAAGTAGTCACTCTTTCAACACACCCAGGTGGGATTCTGCCAACTCAGTTTCCTACCATAGCTGCCAAGCCTCAGCTCAGGTCACCAGTACCTGGTATAGGTGCAGTAATGGTTCACTAGGTACTGTGAAAGGCAGAACTGTGTGTCAGCAGATATGACAGACAGCTTCCCCAAGTCCTTAGACTACCCTGGCCTAGAGATAAACTACTCCATGGCTCAGCCCAGGAGTAGCAGAGGATCCAGGAGCCCAGTCCACAGTGAAGAAAGTCAGTCCCAGACCAAATCCAGTGCACTGATGACAACCCCTCTCCAAAGTCACCTATCTTGGGGAAAAAGTGTTCCTTTGTGACAAGGCTAAAATGTTTCCAGGAAAGAGGGTAACACACACAAAAAAAGCAATCTTTTGTGCACATGAAACACAAGACTGACCTGAACTGGTTTCCATTACAATCTCAGTTAAAATCACAGAAACTCTTTCTTGGATAAAAAAAATTCTGCCACCTACCTACCAAAAAACAGAGAGATGTGGAAGGTGAAAGAAATGGTAAATACCCAAACTACAAAATAAAAGCAGGAGGTGTTATTAGAGTTAAACAAAGTGAGAAACACATTAACAGTTCATTTGGACCAATGGTTTCACAGAGAAGTGACTCTTAAATATCAAGACTGCCACCCAATCTGTTTCTTCTGGCTTCTCAGACTTGAACCAAAATACCCTTCTATCTTCAAGTCTTCAGGGAAAGAAAGTCCAAGTAAGGCTAAGGCCTAGGTTCTCAGGCCACAATACGCCTCCCTTCATAATGGTCTGGTGCTGGGTCACTGCAGAGATAATAATTTGATGGCTACTGCTTATGTATCACAATCTTCTTTCATCATTTCATTTTCTATCCCACATAACTCTGGAAAGCAGAAATATCTGAAGTGATCCCCATTTTAGAGAAGAGGGAACTGAGACTCAGAATGTTTAATATGCCCAAGGACACAAAGCTAATTATTTACAAAAGTAATTCTAGGGAACAAATTCAAAGGTTTCTGTAAAAATGATGGGGAGGTAGTACTGTCTGACCTCCTCTCACTTCACAAGGGGGAAGGAGAATCAAATTCAGCCCAAAGCTGATTCCTATGAGGCGGTGGTCAGGCATACCTCCCACCCTCCAAACTTTTTACCAATTCTGACACCAGCTGTCCCTCCCACAGCACTCTCTACTCCTCTGTTGGGTTCGATAATTTGTTGCAATAGCCACAAAGAACTCACAGACCATATTCACAGTTACGAGATTTATTAGGGAAGTATTAGGTTACAATTCAGGATCAGGAAAGATTCATGAAGTAGTGCTTCTGATCAGGACAGCTTCTTCTCAGTCATGCCTGCAGGCAGGCCTCTCTCTGGCTCTTGGCCCTCAGTCCCCTCAGGCTGACCTGGTCTCTGCCCTACTCAGGCAAGTGTTATAAAGCTCTTTAGTGCCACCAACAAGGCATCCCACTCTACCAGTAAGCCTTAGCCCAAAAGCGATCAGCTTTCTTGCTCTGTGAGGCGGGAAGCCCCCTGCACCCATCCCACACCAGTATCCTGGTTCTGCTGCCTCTCTCTGCCACTGTTTCTCTTTTGCAGCTTCTTGCTGTCTTGCACTGTCTCTGGTGTAATGATTTTTTTTCTCTCTGCCTCCTGGGTCTAGGAGGCTCCCAGGACCCTGGGTCCAAAGGATACACTCCACTCCTAGCTCTTCTTCTTGGTAGTAGTGATGTCTCCCATCTGCCTCAGAGATGGTGCATTTTAAACCTACAAGAATGGCAAAACTGATCAATCTGCTCATTAGGGTTCCAAACATCTTGTGTGCATGGTCCCATCCCAACAAGGGTGCTATGCACCTGACCTGCATTATCAGCAAGCTATTCAAATTCCTTGATAGGCCACAAGCACCCCATTTACACAGTCCCACCTAATATTCTTGGAACGAAGGCTGGGCAATCTACTTCCGTAGTGATACTGCCTCGGAAACCCAAGGATGGGTCGCTATGAGTCGGGGCGACTCGACGGCACATAACAACAACAACAACCTAATCATTCGGTGGCGGTTACAAGACCATAGCGAGAAAGACCTCATAAAAGCGATACACTGAACTGCAGATTTTAAGTCAATGTTTATTCCATCCACTATTCCACACAACTGTAATATTAACTGGCCTGCCTCTGCAAAAACAAAACAAAACAAAATTTAGCTGCACTAGTGAGTCACAGAAAATCCCTTTCAGAATCATCAGAAAGCACTTTGAACTCAACTAAAACAGTCAGATCAGGGTGTCTCTGAGAAACAATTTACCAAATATGGCAATTAAGGAGAAGCTATTAAGGAAGGGAATGATTTTCTTAGTAAAGTCAAAGGCTTGGCACTAAGATGGCCCAAGCATGAATGGATGGAGACAATCCAGCAGTAACCAGCCTGGGGAGTTGGCATCACTGCATTAAGTCAATAGAGCCTTCCATCCATTATGAATGAACCTTTGGATAAAGACTCCAGGAGCTTTAGCCCACCATGATGCCAAGCAACATGCAAATAGTGTTATACAAACTTGATGAACTGCCATCAAGTCGGATCCGACTCATAGCAACCCCTCCTTGGGTTTCTGAGGCAGTATCACTATGGGGGAGCTCTGGTAGCATAGTGCCTAAGGCACTTGACTGCTAACCAGAAGGCTGGTGGTTCAAGTCCACCAGCCACTCCTCGGAAGGAAGATGGGGCAATTTACTTCCGTAGTGATACTGCCTCGGAAACCCAAGGAGGGGTCGCTATGAGTCAGGTCCAACTTGACGGCACATAACAACAACAACAACAACATCACTATGAAAGCAGATCACCCAACCTTCGTTGCAAGGAGTGTCTGGTGGGTTTGAACCACCAGCCTTCTGGTTAGCAGTCAAATGCTTTAGGTACTATGCCACCAGAGCTCCTAACAGCTGTCTCCAATTTCCCTGTAAGGAAAAATCAAGGTCCTGAATACATCTGTCTATGATCACACAATCAATATTGTGGGATCTGGATATGGGATCCCTGATCCAGGTTCTTCACATTCTCTCTTAATTTTAAAGTCTGTCTCCATCTTTAATTATTAACCAAGCCTAGTTGGAACCAAGGTGCTCTGGTAGTGTAGTGCCTAAGGCATTTCACTGCTAACCAGAAGGCTTGCTGTTCAAACCCACCAGCCACTCCTCAGAAGGAAGGTTGGGTGATCTACTTCCCTAGTGATACTGCCTCAGAAACCCAAGGAGGGGTTGCTATGAGTCGGACCCGACTCGACGGCAGTGTGTTTGGTTTTTTTGGTTTAGTTGGAACCATGTGGGTTATAAATATATAAAACTTAAGGGTCATCATAGTTTAAAAATAGGAGTGAGTCTGTGGTATAGGAAAAAACATTCAGTCAACATTTACTATATAGCAGGGGGCTACCTGGTACTATATACCAAGGGCTACCTGGTACTTGGTACATCTCAAGATGAGAAGAAAATGTTGCAAGCATTCATTAATAATTAGAACATGGAATGTACAAAGTATGAATCTAGGAAAATTGGAAGTTGTCAAAAATGAAATGGAATGCATAAAGATCAATATCCTAGGTACTAGTGAGCTAAAATGGACTGCTTTTGGCCATTCTGAATCAGACAATCATATAATCTACTATGCCGGGAACAACAAATTGAAGAGCAATGGCGTGGCATTCATCATCACAAAGAATGTATCAAGATCTATCCTGAAGTATTATGCTATCAGTGATAGGATAATATCCATACACCTACAAGGAAGACCAGTTAATAGTACTATTATTAAATTTACACACCAACCACCAAAGCCAAAGATGAGGAAATTGAAGATTTTTACCAACTTATGCAGTCTGAAATTGACCAAACACGAAATCAAGATGTGTTAATTATCACTGGTGATTGGAATGCAAAAGTTAGAAACAAAGAAGAATCACCAGTAGTTGGAAAATATGGCTTTAGTGATAGAAATAACACTGTAGATCACATGACAAAATTTTGCAAGACCAATGACTTATTCATTGCAAATACCTTTTTTCAACAAAACAAACAGTGGCTATACACGTGGACTTCACGAGATGGAGTACACAGGAATCAGACTGACTACATTTGTGGCAAGAGGCAATGGAGAAGCTCAGTATCTTCAGCCAAAACAAGGCCAGGAGCTGACTGTAGAACAGAACATCAACTGCTCATATGCAAGTTCAAGTTGAAGCTGAAGACAATTAAAACAAGCCCATGAAAGCCAAAATATGACCTTGATTATATCCCTCCTGAATTTAGAGACCACCTAAAGAATAGATTTGATGCACTGAACACCAATGACTGAAAACCAAAGGAACTGTGTGATGACATCAAGAACATCATCCATGAAGAAGGCAAAAGGTCATTAAAAAGACAAGAAAGGAAGAAAAGTCCAAAATGGTTGTCAGAAGAGACTCCAAAACTTGCCCTTGAACAGAGAATAGCTACAGCAAATGGAAGAAATGACAAGATAAAAGAGCTGAACAGAAGATTTCAAAGAGCAGCTCTAGCAGACAAAACCAATTATTATAATGAAATGTGCAGAGACCTGGAGCTAGAAAACAAAAGGGAAGAACACATTCGGCATTTCTCAAGCTGAAAGAACTGAAGAAAAAAATTAAACCTCAAGTTGTGATATTGAAAGAGTCCATGGGCAATATATTGAATGATGTGAGAAACATCAAAAGAAAATAGAAGGAATACACAGAGTCACTATACCAAAAAGAACTGG